TGTTAAAAATAAAAATAAAATTTTTTATTTTTCTATACAAATTAGTGAAAAATATGTGATTTAATAATGGTATTAAGTTTTTTAAGAAATAATAAAATTTAAATTATAATATTGATTATTGTAAATTAAAATTAGAATCCTGATCAATGTAAATTAAAATTATTATCTTAATTAATTATTACATTTGATATAGAATTTAAATTTTAAAAACAAAATGTTGCAAAATATATATATACTATATTTAACAATTTTCAAAAGTTTAAGGGGCAACTTGTCTAGACAAACATTTCGTTAACTAAACTAGCTAAATGTTTGTCAAATAGATCATTTTAAAACAAAATTGATAGTCTATATATCATTTTAAAAGAAAAAATTGTTTCTAAACTAAACGAAAATAAACCACATAATTAATAAACTATTTATTAAATTTAGCCTATCTAAATATTCAAAGGCCTATATCTGGTGTTTAATCTAACATGTTCAGGTAAGTTGCAAATATTTACTTATATATTTGACTTAGGAAAAGAAAAGGTTTGCTATAAGATACTTATTGTTGTTACATGTATTATATGTTTGGTTTATTATTTATATGAATAGATATTATTCTGTGTGTGATTTGCTAGGTTTATAAGCTATACTTAACTTTTATTCATATTTTTGTATTTTATTATTTTTATTTTTAAAAATTACTGTTATTATATATAGATATTAAGTATAATAAATACATGTAAAATTTTAAATATACAAGTAAAGATAACATGTTAATTAAACAAATTGATTAAATAGATTAAGTAAATAGTTTTGAATTCTTATATTTATTACTTGATTTAATATTTATGGATATATTATTTTCATATTCATTACATATTTATTTTTTTTATAATTCAAATATGATTCTTATCCAAACAAATAAGGTACTTGCAAATGATGGGTGTACGTACCCAATACCACTCACCCGTAGAGCAGAGGTTAATGTGTTTTGGAATTTTCTTTCTTTCTTTTTTTTTCTTTTTTTTTTTTTTTTTGAAAATAGGCAATGGAGGGAATTTTCTTATGCCCCAACTCATAGAAATAATATTTAAAATCAAAATAAAAGATAGAGAAAAATAAAATTTAGGATGATCTTATTCCATTATATTTTAAAGATTAGAATTGTCAGTAAAGATCTATTAGTTTGAATAAAAAAACTTAATTTTTCTTAAATAAAATTTCAATTTCAAAATTTATAAACAAATAGACAGTCTCTTGGAGAGTTTTTTTCTTTATGAGATCTAATGTGACTTGATTATAAATTAGTTAGGTTATAAGGTGATTTATGAATACTAGGTTTTAATAAAAGAAAAGGAATTGCTTGTAAGATTGTTTAAATATTGTTAATAAATTTTTCTTATGTATTAATGTATTGATTTATTTAAGTTTTTTTATTACAAAAATATTATAGTTATACTATGTAAGTTTATAACATAACTAGTATATAATTAACTCTTTTCATTTAAAAATTTATATATGATATTATATATATTTATTTATTTAATATCACATTATACTTATTTAATATTGCGTTATTATTGTAAGTTTACAATCTTTGCATATTATAATTATAATATTGTTATTTTTTTACCATTATTGATTTGTTAATTGTCTGAATGTTTTTATTTTTGACAATTTAAAAAAATATTATATAATTTAAATTGTTTCAAATTATTTAATGTTATTTAATTTTTTATAACATTATACTTATTTAATGTTACGTTATAATTGTAAGTTTACAATTTATATACATTATAATTATAATATTGCTATTTTTTTTACCATTATTGATCTTTTGATTGTCTAAACATTTTTGTTTTTGATAATTTATATAATTTAAATTGTTTTGAATTATATGAGATTAATTATTAAATAAAAAATAAGCGCATTAAGGCTTTCCCATTTAATAGTGCCTATTTATAGATAAAACTATAAAATAGGATTTCATTTTAAAAAGTAATCTAGAATTTCTAAATTAATTTCAAGGGAGAAAAAAATAAAACCAAAATAATTAAGGATAACAACGAGTCCACACAGAAATGGGGACCCCATCTCCATCCCGTCCCCATCCCATCTCCATCCCCATCTCCATCCTTGCCAATGGCAGATACGGGGATCTTTATAAAGATTTTTAACAAAGGCTAAAGATAGCCTCCGTCCCCATATTCATGGGGAATAATAGGTTTCTGTGAGTATATGAAGCCTCCATCAAATATTAAATACATAAAATGTAAACTTATATTTTTTTGTAAATTAAAAAAAAAATGGGAAAATTTTGTAAAAACTCATACAAGTAAATATGTTACACATACAGTCCAATAAAGCAATGTCTAGCTACAGCAAATACACACTGCCATTCACGTCCTATAAGCCCGACAGCAAGTTCATGGAAAAAAAAGAGAGTATAAACTGCCATACATGTCCAACGACAAGTTCATAGAAAAAAAAAAAAAGCATAAAAGAAGGGAAATTTAAAACAAACAAATACATAAAATAATTTAGCAAGGAGCAAATGCATATACATCCATTCCATCTAGCAAGGCAAAGGTAACTCTGCAGTAACAACTTAAGCTTGATCAACAACTTTAAGTTGAGAAAATAACTTTCTAAAACAAGTACTCTAAGTTATTTGAATGTAATTATATATAATCCAAAAAAAAAAAAAGCTAAGTTAATTTTATATCTTCATAAGTAATTTTGATTCCTAACAATTTCTAAGAGATATCACTCCATCATTAGAAGAACAACTTTACAAAGATTATAGAATCTGAAGTATACATCTGAGCTACTTGTTGACTTCCTTGACCTCCTCTAAATCCGTAAGTGATTAAGACACAATTGCACCATAAGTCAAGGTAAACAACTCTGCATTCTACATCAATTCAATTTCAAAGATTAGAAACACACTAACCATCAATAAGAGCATAATAATCCATTCGTTTGCCCAACAAAATGCATCAAATGAAATGAAATTAGACGAAACTATCAGATTCTACATAAATAAAGCTACGTTCGTTGTAATTTTCTCCAAAAACAAAAGAATTAACACCTCAAACTATTTGCCTCCTCTAGTTCTACTTTGTTTTCTCACTCCTTTCCTCTGCCTCTCTTTCCTTTCTCCCTCTTCCCATCCTTATACTTTGAGTGAATTTAGAACATATTACCTTGATAGAGTTGAAAGAGATGCAAACTGCAGTAGCCAGTATGAGATGATTAAGGACTAATGAAGTGAGGAATGGAGTAGGTGCACCATGCAGGGAGAAGGACCTAGAGTTGGAGCCTTGGAGTTGGAGGCGAGTGGAGACAAGCAGCCACTATCGAGAGCTTGAGGAGATGAGGAGTAGAGAAGGAATTTGATGGTCAACTAGAGCTATTACTAAATGAGCTGATGTTGCACTTGCGAATTTGTAATTGCAATTTGCAATTGGCCAATTGCTTTATTAAATAGGGTTTGTGAAGACTAAATTAGGTTTAGGAACATTAGAAAAAGAATTGGGCTAAGTAATTTAGATTGGATTGGTATTTATATTAATCAATTAAGTTGGTTGAATAAAAATTAATTGATAATATATTTATAAAAATATATAAAAATAAATTTATATTTTTTTATTATATATTGATCTCCATGGATCTCTATATGATGGGAAAAATTTTTTATGATATTAAAAATAAATAAATAAATAAATAAATAAAAACCCTATCTTCACCTTACAAAAAAACAAAGAATATTTTTAGAACCTTCACTCCTGGAGCAGGGATCCCGCGAAGCTCCACGATTCTAGGAGGAAATTGTCATCTCCAAAAAAAACATGCCATTGGATATTCCTTGAAAAACGACCAAGCCCACCACATTGTCTCTGCACTACACGTGCCAGAAAACAGTATACTTATGGCTAATGCAAGGCAACCTTCATTAACACGCCACCTGTCGATTCTAATTTCCACGTCACCATTTTTCAATCGCAGAAAAAAAGGGGAAACTTTGGTAAAATATAAAAATCCGAAAATTTGGTAAAATATAAAAATCCGAACACCAGACCCAGACCAAAATCCAGTCTAAAGAGTTGCGAAAAGAGCAAGATCAAGAAATTGGGGAAGAAAACAATGAAATCGGAGACATTGACTCTTGTTCTGGTGAACCTGGCGGGCATCGTGGAGCGAGCAGACGAGTCTTTGCTCCCCGGCGTCTACAAGGAAGTGGGTGCTGAATTGCACACGGACCCGATCGGGCTCGGGTCGCTGACCTTGTTCAGATCAATTGTCCAGTCTTCCTGCTACCCCATTGCCGCCTTCCTAGCGGTGCGCTACAACCGAGCCCATGTAATTGCTCTTGGTGCGTTTTTATGGGCCGCCGCCACTTTCCTCGTTGCCCTCTCCTCCACTTTTTTTCAGGTAAACATCACAAAGTCACTTGCTTTGGTTCTGTTTCTGGGACTCGCTACATTTCTTGATTCGTTTGGAAGCTGGCAAAGTGAGGGAAAACTAAGTGCCGGCATTTAGGGATTGTGTAATCCTTTCCTGGTTATGTCAATTGAGTTGAATTTCTGAATTGGTTGTGTTTGGAAGCATTATAATAACATATAGGATGCGTTCGTTAAACTTTGTGTCTTGATTGGCGCATAATTTTAATAATACCATGTGATTGGCACTTAATTTTATTAATTCCCCTTTTTTTTTTTTTTTTTTTTTTGACATGTAGAGTTAACATAATATACCAATGAAGAAGAGTTGGGGAAGAATTGATGAGAAAAAAAAAAAGTTCGAATTAAATTCTTAGTCATTTGGCTATTGGTGGGCAGGTAGCTGTATCCAGGGCTCTAAATGGGATTGGCCTTGCAATAGTTGCTCCCGCAATTCAGTCTCTTGTTGCTGACTGTACTGATGATGGTAACCGCGGTGTGGCTTTTGGGTGGCTACAACTCACAGCCAACTTTGGTTCGGCAATTGGGGGGCTTCTTTCAGTTTTAATAGCACCAATAACATTTCTCGGAATTCCTGGTTGGAGAATTTCCTTTCATATTGTTGGACTGATCAGTGTTGTTGTTGGTATTTTAGTCCGCCTCTTTGCCAATGATCCTCACTATTCAGATGGTGGTAGAAAAGCTAGCAGTCAAGTTTCAAGTAAATCCTCAATGGCAGAAATGAAGGACCTGATTCAGGAAGCAAAAGCAGTCATAAAGATTCCGTCATTCCAGATTATAGTAGCTCAAGGTGTCACAGGTTCATTCCCGTGGTCAGCATTGTCGTTTGCACCAATGTGGTTGGAGCTACTTGGCCTCTCCCATAAGAAAACTGCAACGCTGATGGCCTTGTTTGTCATTGCTACTTCCCTTGGAGGCCTATTTGGGGGTAGAATGGGGGATTTTCTCTCTAGGCATCTCCCAAATTCTGGAAGGATAATTCTATCTCAGATAAGCTCAGCATCAGCCATCCCTCTAGCAGCAATTCTCTTGCTTGTTTTACCTAATGATCCGTCAAAAGTGGCACTGTTTGGTTTGGGTTTTTTCATTCTGGGTTTTTGCATATCATGGAATGCTCCAGCTACAAACAAGTAAGGTCTCTCAGACTTACTTTTTCTTTGTTCTGTTGTAATAGTTCTCTTTCTAGCTTTTTAATATGTCGAACATTTGAAAGAAAAAAAGTTTACAGTTAGATGGGAGTTATCATAAATTAACCAAATCCACTATGAAAGATGCACAACTAGGTCATTTACTTGAATCCTCCACGAATATTATAAAAAGATGGCAGCATATAGGACTTAGATCAAATGTTATACGGGAGAATTAGCATTTCCAACAGTACTTGGTCCCAAATGTCCAATTAATCCTTAATAGAGTAGCACTTTGTTTCTTTTTTTCCTATTTCTTTTTTATGTACTAGAACAAGTGGTTCAGGCTTGAGGGGGGAAGGGGGAGCATAGGTTTGAACTTCTACCATGAGGGTGTGGAAACCTTTTATACTAATGACAAAGTCACTTCCAACTACCAAGGTTCCACAATAGAGTAGTACTATAGGCTGGGAAATGACATGAAATTTTAAATCGTGAAGTGGTATGAGGGGCCAAATGAGTGAGAGATGAGGGCTTCAAAGGGGATTATTGATGTTGTTGTTAAATTGTTAGTGATAATTACATTTCCCATGCAGCCCCATATTTGCGGAGATAGTTCCAGAAAAATCCCGAACAAGTGTTTATGCTCTAGACCGTTCTTTTGAGTCCATCCTATCATCATTTGCTCCACCTGTGGTTGGGCTACTGGCTGAGCATGTCTACGGTTATAATAATCCTCTTCATAAAGGATCCAGTGAATCAGAAGAAATTGCTACAGACAGAGGCAATGCTGCATCTTTGGCCAAAGCACTCTACACAGCAGTAGGACTTCCAATGGCTCTCTGTTGTCTTATCTACTCTTTTCTTTATTCCACCTATCCAAGGGACAGAGAAAGGGCTCGGATGGAAGCATTAATAGAATCAGAAATGCGAGAGATACTGACCAGTCAGTTGCCTGAAGGTGGAGAATATTCTCAATCTCAGCTCTCAAAGACAGAAGAATCATATGTTAGGGATAGAAGTGTTATTGAAGTGGAGTATGAAAGTGATGATGATCATGATACAGATGAAAATGATGAGAATGCTTTTCTTTACCGCCAGTTGACATTCTCAAATTTAGGTGAATAGACTGATATCTTAATTGTGTCAATGATGATAAGACATTCTTTCCGGCAGATAATGTAATAAAAAATTTCCATTTTTCATCTCCAGGTGTATCAGGGAAAACAAAAACAGAAATGTAAAAAGGAGAAAAACTGATGAAAGCTTGAAAATATTTTTTGAGGATCTCAGTTTGGTAAACATTATTCATCTCATGACTGATTGTCAGCTCAAACAAATTAAAAAGCAACTATACAGATCAAAGAGTAACAAAAGATATGCAGACTTGTACTTTTGGAAGACGTGAAATATATCATATATACATCTGGCTTTCCAAGCCAAGGTTTTAATTACTTTTAAGGATGTCATACAGAGTGATATAACGAATGTTTAATTGGGTTTTCTGGCAGAGAACATCACAAAAAGTTGATTCCTCGTACAGGTGAAATCAACTAGTCCACAGGTTCTGCAGACTTCCTCAAGTTCACGTTCAGATAAGAAGATCTGGTTGCCTGAGATTGCGGTCAAATTCTGCATAAGACAAAGCAAGTCTTCACCATCAGCCATTAAAGAGGAAATAATGTAAATGTTTAAATGAAGCTTCTTGGATAATAGACAGAAGAGTATGCATAGCACACAGATGAAAGATTAATCGCCACACTTATGGCCCAAAACAGGAAATTATTATGAGAGGACATTGGCATGAAACTTTTCCTGTTGACTATAATTCTTGCTCTATTGTCATTTAAGTTCGAAGATGAAACAGCATACCTCCCGTAAGATCCTTACAAATGGGTAAAAGGTGAACGGTCCATCAAGTACGTAGGTTGTAGCAACAAATACTCCCCCAGGTTGGAGAACTCGACTTATTTCTGCTACCTACAAATGACATGGGTACCAAATCATTGAATAATCAAAAGAAGGTAACTAGGAAGGGTAAAACAGATAAATTTCTGGCTGTCTTTTATCATTTTGTGTTTTTTAAGAAAACTGAAAGTATAAATAAAAGGAACCAAAACGTGGAACCATATATTCATTACCGAATTTATACACACACATGCACCTCAGAATCAGCATCCTTAGAGCTATAATCCAGTTTTAACACAAATATTATGTTTTCCTTCTTTTCTTTAATCCTCCACAGCTTCATCATCATTCAACAAAAACTGAAACAACTATCTTACGTAAATCTGAAAAACCATCTCAGATTTTGTTCTTTAAGATGCAATCATACAAATGCTCTTTCCAGGGAAAACTTCTAACCAACTCCAAATTCTCCTATTATTCAGATACTCTTCGCAATACAATCACATAGTAAAGAAGTACGATATTATTCAACTTCTGTCAATATTTGTTTTCCTTTAAGCATGTCTATTGTCGCAAATTGTTTTATCTGATTTTTCATAGGGAGAAAAAAAAAAGGAACACATGGTAGGCCACTACTTCAAAACATATCAAAACTCTGTTTGGACCTACTTTTATAACCATGACAAGTCATTTTGGCAGAGCATTATCAACAAATTACTAGTTCAACCATAGAGTGAAAGGCACAAAGCATGTGCCCCTTGAGTGCATCATACTTGAAGATGAAAGTATTAATATCTTCTCTTTCAAGAGTCACCCTAAGACGAGCCTAAGTGCCTTGTAAAACTATAGTTAATAAACTCAATGTCTGCCAACAGTTAGGTCAACTGAGCAAGTAAATTAATAGTTCTAAAACTAACATAAAAGAAATGCTTACAGCTGTTGTCGGTGAAGGCCAACAGTGTATAGCTGCTCCTGCATGCACAGCATCAACTGAACTTGAAGCAAAAGGAAGCCTAGAGATGTCAGCTCTGACCAAGGTAATTTTCCTTCAAAACGAATTAAATAAAAGGAATTCCATCATAGATGATATCCAGATAATAGAATGAAGAGTCAAAGACAATATCATGGAGATTTTATCCAATAGAAGGCATGATTTAAGTTAAAGCTTGGATACTGTACTCTTTGGGAAAGTTCTCTTCCTTCTCAATGAATTCATAGCACTGCTGCAGCATGTTCTCAGAGTAATCCAGAGCAACAACATGCGAAAACAGTCCACTCTTGGCAAAAAGTCTTGAAAACAACCCACTACCACAGCTAGCATCAATGATATTTCCACCTAAAACTGGCTCTAAATAATTCTTCATCATTTCAAACTGCAATGAAAGTTATTTTTTCTGTTAGTTACTCCACCATTAACGAGAAATGTCAAAACCATAATATAATGAAGCAGGAAGATTGTTCCACCAGCTTTTGAATCTAATGCAAGCAACTCAAATATGTAAATGGTAAATATGATGATAAATGTACTATTTATGTCTATCATTCATTGGCCAGTACTGACTACCGAAACAAGTCTGTCTGTTCACCTGTATATTGGTGAAATTAATTAAGAAGCAGGTATTGCAAGATTCTGTAGAAATATTTTTTCCTTAAATTTCATATCGTAAATCATAAGCAATGGAAGTTCCATACCTAAAACTATACTGTTATAATTACAAAAAGGGACAAAGGGATGGTTCCTTCATATTATGATCCAGATGAAGTGATTTTAGTTTCATCATCCAACCAAAGACATTTAACTAACTAAAAAGGCTGCAGACTCAAGGCTTTTATAAGCTAAAGCACTCCAAAATCAATAATCAATAATTAAAATTTAGCACTAGACTAATATTGAAGAAATGTAAAATGAAGGTACTATCTTCTTTCTTACCTCTTTCTCTGGACCCGGAAAACCACCCCATATGAAGTTCTGACGCCAACCCCTCTCATAGAGGAATGATATCAATGGAAGCCTGATTCAACAAATAAGACATCATAAGAAAATTAAAATAAATTCTAACTAAAGTTTTGACTTTGTTGTAGTTGAGAACAAAATTGTAACAATATCAATAATAGATACATTGGTTCCTGGATGCACAACAAACATTCTTACATAAACATCATACAGGAAAAAATCTTCAACGTCAATCAAAGTCATGAAAATTGTAAAGAAGAAGTAATCCACACCTGAAAAACTCAGTGGTGAGGGAAATATATTCCCCATATTGTTTGGACCCACTAGCAGCCGTGAGGTCAATATGCGATTCATTCCCAGAATAAGTCTTCTTGCAAGTGTTACATTGTAAGCTAGACCCAGCTGAAGTTGCTCTGCACCATACCAAATTCAACCACTTCAAACACCAAAAAATTGAGCATGATATGTAAAAGCCATGATTTCAACAATTACTCACAGGGATAGAGCCGGGCCATCCAATGTTAGTAGGTTATAACATATGGGACAAGCTAAATTTTTTATGCCCGCACCGACTTCCTTCTCAACCACAATAGGATCCTAAACACAGCCAACAGATTGGAACCCAGAAAACGAAATTAAAACATACGGAGAGAAAGAAGAAATAACATCATTCTAAAGTATCGACCCATCATAATTTAACAAATTCATAATCCGAATGCTTGAATACCTCGGGTTTGGCCTCAACGAAGGCGGTGGAAGAAGCGCGAACTTTGGCGGTAAAACTGCGGCTGAAGATGGACGACAGCGACAAGGGTGGTTTGCAGAAGAAATTTCTCGAGTTTCTGCTGAGCTGAGCGGGTAGTGAGATGGGTGTGAATTTAACGGAAAGAACAGTGGTCATGGTGATGATCGGAAATTGAATCTGAGAAAAATGGAGCGCAGGGAAGGGGGAGAGGACGTGTGATAACAATAACCTGAAATTTAAAACAAAAATATGACGATGATTTCCGGCAGGCTCTGTCTGTTTCGGCTGTCTCGATTCTGCGGGAAATGGGCTTTCTTTCATTCGAGTCAAACTGGGCCGAAATGGATCTCCTCTGATTTATTACTCTTTCCATTTTTATATGTAATTTTGGATAAAATTTTTTTGAGCAATGATAGAATGGAGAAAATTTTGAGATGAAAATTTAAAATTAATGAAATGATATAAGTCATATAATTAAATTGATTGATATTTATAAAATATTATGGGTTTTAAAAGTGTTTATTTTTTAATATTTTAAATAACACAATAT